TGCTGTTCTGTTCCTTGTAATCTGTGCACATAGCAGGTGTCAGATCCCAAGATCAGCAGGTTAAGTGTTTGGGAAGTGCCAGAGGGAAAGTTTTGGTGCCTCTAGAGACATCATGCAGCTGCAGTGCCCTTCCCTGACTTATCAGTGTATGCTCCTGTGGTGGTCAAAAACTAAAGTGGGATGCTGGAGTTTCTCATACCTCTCTGAAGTACACCCTGAGCTACAATTTTGTGCTGTTTTTTCAACATTTTTCATTAATTTTTAGGTCTAAAAGACTCAAAATACAAATGCTCTGATACAGAGGTGGAAAAATAAAGGGAGCTCTGAAATAGGTTTGAAGACCAACATTAACAATTGTCATCCAAGTATCTACTCTGTGCCAGTGTTACACCTGATAATAGGTCTCACCATTTTTTAAAAGGTGCGATAAGAATTTCCCTTCTCCCTTTCCTTTCTCCCTCTGTTCCCTTTACATTCCATTGCTATTATCTCTCCTTTCTGCAGGCTGTGGCCTGGGACTGCTACCCCTCACTGATGCTCAGGCAGAGAGGAACAGGGCACTGAAGAGTTATTGGGGTGTCTTGTCAGTTAGAAGCTGTACCGTTTATGCTGAACATGAGCCAGCAATGTGTCCAAGTGTCCAAGAATGCCAACACCATCCTGGCCTGCATCAGAAATAGTGTGACCAGCAGGAGCAGGGAGGTCATCCTGCCCTTCAGCCTTGGTGAGGCCACATCTGGAGCACTGTGTGCAGGTTTATCACTGCAGCATAGGAAGGACATCGAGGTGCTGGAGAGGGTGCAGAGAAGGGCAGCTAGGCTGATGAGGGGTCTGGAGAACAGGTCTTATGAGGAGAGGCTGAGGGAGCTGGGGCTATTCAGCCTGTAGAAGAGGAGGCTGAGGGCAGCCCTCATTGCTCCCTACAACTACCTGAAAGGAGGTTGTGGTTAAGTGGGTGTTGCCTCTTCTCCTTAGTAACTAGTGATAGGACAAGAGGAAATGAGGTCAGGCTGTGCCAGGGGAT